TGTACCAGAAAGGGAGCCTTTGAGTGACAAGCTCACATTGGAGATATCCTGGTCTACATCGCTGCTGCAGAAAGCTTCCTGCCTCATACCCCGTGGAGGGCTTGGGACAGCACTTGCATCCAGGTGGCCAAGTGTGAACACATTCTCCCAGCACAGGGTCAGGGCTTGCACTGGGGCCAGCTCTCAGTAGAATCCCTTGATATAGGTGGCACCCAAGTCACCAGCCTGAACCCAGCCAAAGACCCAAAGGTGGGACAGATGCAGAATGACAGCTGTCTGCATGGTCTAGTACTAAATGAAGTTTGTTGAAGCTGCTGATCTGACGCAGGGAAACCAAGCAGAGGATGTGCCATGCAGGATCTCATTACCCTCCCTGTCATGGCTGAGGTATACAGGCACAGAGCTTGCACAGGCTGTGCTTGTCCAAGGGAACTCATCCAAATGTAGAAGATTCTCTGCTATGGCATTCAGCTGTATTGATTTGGTTATTGCTGCCCTAGGAGTAAGTGTGGAAGGGTATTTGCTGGCCCATACTTTTGCAGCTCCGATGGGAAATGGTCAGGTTTTTCCGCTTCTATTCAGTCAGGGGTTTTTTTTACATTTTTTCAGAAAGAGTAAAGGGAAGACAAAGCAATAATCTGTACACCAAAACTTAGTGTTATTTTGAAATGCTAGATTCCTGTCCCAAACCTAGGGAAGGCAGCATGGGGGAGAGCTGCTCTGAGCAGCTTGCTCAGTAAGCATCTGAATTGTTTGCTGTAAATCTGACACCCTGCTGGGCAATGTTCCTAAGAAAACCTACCCCGTGCATTCCCTCAGGCCCCTATGTTCACATTTGCAACTCTCATGCTGCACTTACCAGGGTTATTTGCATGGATGGGGGCTCCCTGTTGATGCCTGGGTGGCAGAAGCGAAGGGCTGACAGGCCTTTCCTGCCAATCTGTCTGTTGTTCAGATGAAGTGGTTGGAAAGTGCTCTCTCCAGTTCCCTCTTTGGCTCAGGCGCTCCGATAAGGCATGGGCTGTCCTATCTTGCCCTGGGCGCTGTTCCTCCTCCCTAACAGGCCGCCTTTGCCGGCTGACAGTTAGCAGCCGGCAGTGCTTGATAAACTTATCAGACCAAAGCTGAGCCCAGTGCATGCTCAGCTCCTCCCCAACCTCAGATTTCCCCATTCCTGAGGACTCTTTGCTCTCTGCCTGCCTTGCCATCTGATACGGTGAACACAGATCACCCTTGGGACAGCAGGTCAAAATCAGCCTAAGGACCAGATTGACAAATGCTTGTATTGAAGCAGCGCCTCTCCAACAAGAGTGTCAAGTGGGATGTTCATAGCATCCACATCCAGCTCTATCTCTCTCCTTGGAATATTATTCACCAGTGGAAATGCTGCCCATGTCTGGTGTGTTTTATTTGCACTGTTTCTCTGCTCATCTGGTGGTTTAGCGGTTTTAACGTGGGGGTCTCACTGTGTGCACTTGGAGGATTTTTTTTCTAAGCCAGTTACAGAATTAAGTTGCTTTGCTGAATTAAGTTTCTATCATTCGTTATTAGTATCGCAGTAATGCTTAGGTGTTCCAGCCGAGATCAAGGCTCCACTGTGTGAGGTGCTGTACATAGAAGATAAGGAGGGGCAGTCCCAGACTATCTTACCGTTGAAATAAACATGTGAAATGAAGGGGAGAGGGGCAATTATTATCCTCCTCTCACAGATGGGGTGAAGCTTTCTGTGAGCTTCATAGCATGCTGACACAACTTCAGAAATCCAGCACCCGTGTCTTGCCCAAGGTCATGCAGGAAACGTGTGGCAGATCTCAAGTCTCAGGTCAGGGTTTGCAGCCTTAAGATCAGTGTGTGTCCATGGTGACTGTTAGTTGGAAGATGGTGGGTCAGGAACTCTGCAGGAATCTGCATTCTCTTAGGGTCTCATCCAGCACAAAGGCAACCGACTGACTTTAACCATCCTTGAATAATTTTGATGTGGCTGTTCTGGGTTGTCTCCTCTGAGTGGATGTGATAATTCCAGCAGAAAAGTGGAAAAACATCTCAGCTTTGTGAGCAGAATAAGGGATAAAAAATTGCTTGTGGTGTACCTTTTTATTCTGTAGCAGCTTTTCAGGTCAAGCTCCCTACCTGTTCCCAGGTTAAGCCCTTAACAGCAGGCAGGAATGTTTGCCCTACACAAGGAAACATGTATGCAGCTATTTCTGGGAGGTTGTCTAATGCCTTCAGGTTTCCCCTTGTGCTGTGCTGATGGGCTAGAATCAACCTGCTCGTGCATCCCCATCACCTATGACTGTGTGGCCCTAGGGGAATGACCTGCTGTGAGGACAAGGGGCTCTTATCTTTTCGCTGAAAATCTTTCGCGTGAAGTCTAGGGTGCGAAGCAACTGGACTCAGAAAATAAATATCTTTACAATATAACCTGTACCCAACTGGAGCCTAATTCTTCCCTGTCCTTCTCCTCAGTTCCTTCTAGGCCTTCCCTAACCATTGCCAACACAATGTAAAAACTTCAGGGGATTGCCTTCTCTAGGATTCCACTCTGGAAGATAAGATGAAGATAAGCTCCAGCATAATGCCATGCTAGCTGGGAACACGCCTCGCTTCCCGCAGGTGTCCCGTGGTTCTGTCTTCATTATGAAGAGAAAGATGAATCCCATGTCCAAACTTAAATCCACCCTTGATCATGGTATTTCTGGGCTGCTGCTCTCAGGGCCTGAAGGCTGTCTGGAAGACAGAGGCACCTCTCCTTCTGACAGATGCCCAGGGTTATTGCTTTGCA